GGTGCCCTCCTAAGGTCCACTCATCTGAAGCCTGGGACAATCTCTCACATATGTTTCGTATCACCATACTCATAACAACCATTCTGCTGACACGGCTACTACAACTGAGTCTGCCCCGAACTACTAGAATAACCGTTGTAAGAACCTCGTGCGGGAGGTGCACTGAAAGATGATTGTCCGGAACGAGTGCTCTGAAATCCCTAGCTAGCTGGAGCACTATGTGAAACAAGAAGTGCCGACTGAGTTGGATGATTGATATAGCCTTTACCACGACGACCCTTGCCCCCAGAGTAAGCACCACTAAATCCTCCAAAACCACGCCATCAAGAGAGAATATTGGTTTATGCATGACAAAGCATAAAGAATGCATGTGCATGATCAAGATTGCCACCTTTATACCCTCACATGATCATCAACGGTGAAATAATGGTGAAATGCCACCCTTATGCTCCGCACATCAAAATCAGTGAAATGCTATCCTTATACTCCACAAATCATCAATAGTACTGAAATGTCATCCTTATACTTCACACCTCAAAATCAATCACAACTATTATGGTACCACAATCCACATGTACGCCATCAAGAGAGAATATGAGAGGGAGACACTAGGGGATGGATCCTTATCCACACGCTGCACAGCAAAAACCTCGAGCATCACGATAATCATAATCGCACGGCAAATGCCTCGTGCAACAATATCATCACAACCGCACGTCAAAGACCTCGTGCTACAATATCATCACAATTGCACGATAAAGACCTCGTGCCATAATATCATCACAATGACACGGCAAAAACCTCGTGTCAACACCCAATCAATTCGCCAACATGTCCACATGTGCCATGAGCATAACAATGCAAATATGTAAAATTATCATCAAAAGACATATGATCAATATCAATCAACAAAGTGCATAAGGACATGACAATAAAAAAATACAGATAAGTGTTCAATATATAAAGCATGATCACACCCAAATCGATTGTAGCAACCAAGTTCGTATAGTCATAGAATGATTAAGCATATTTCATATCAGGCATATAATCACAATAAGGCATAATAGAAGCCTAAAGTCTAATCCGATCATAACCACACATAGCACCCGTATACACCTTTGTCACCTTGCGTACACGACGCTTTACACATAATACAATTAGGCAAATAAGACCAAATTTCAAGGGTTATTTTCTCACACAAGATTAGACAAGATACTTACCTCAACAAGCCCAAATAAAACTTCTAAAATAGCATTTCCCTTATAACACACCTTCAACCGACTCGAATCTAGCAAAAAATAACTCAATAACATCAAACAACGCTATAAGAATCAATTCCAAACATCAATCTTTACTCAATTTCTAAAATGTCAACAAAAGTAAACCCCGAGCCTACACGATCAATTTCCGAGTCAAGGGGTAGATCCCAATTATCCATAAAATCACGAGTCTAAATATATGATTAGATTTCAAAATTGAGTTCAAATCGACTCCCAAATCCCAATTTTTATTTTCCAAAACATAGTCAAAATTCCCCAAATTTCTCTTTCAAATCATATAATCTAGGTGTAATATTCATGGAGAAACAAGATATAATATCAAAATCAAGTGTAAATCACTTACCCTCTTGCCTTGTGTGAAAATCCTCTTCAAATATCGCCCATCTCCAAGTCTAGGGTTCAAAATATGGAAGAATGAACCTAAATCCCGAAATTGGCTCATTAAAACCAACTGCAAATGTTGCATTTGCAACCACAAGTTTGCAAATATGAAGCATAGTTCGTAAATGCGAACTGGTTCCCTCATCACCATACCTCGCAAATGCGACCAAGTGTCGCAAGTGCGATGCCCCTTTCGCAAATGCGGATGTCGCAATTGTGACACCAGCTTCGCAAATGTGAAGCTGGCCTTCTCAGCCAACCAATCACAAATGTGATCAGCTTTCTGCAAATACGAGCAGGCTATGGCAATTGCAATGCCTGCAACACCAGAAATTTTGAAGTCTTTCAAAACCAATTCGAAACCCATTCAAAACTTACCCAAGCCCATCGGGCTCCACACCAATTATCCACACAAGTATACAAACCTCATATGAACTCATTCATTAGCTCGAAACATCAAAATAACATTCGTAACCAAGAATTGAACACCAAAACATATTATGCAAGCCTTTAAGTTCAAGAACTTCAAATATTCACAATCAAGCGTCTGATTCCTACCAAACCAACTTGGAATGAAACCAAACTTTGCACACATGTTTCGAATGACAAAAATGACCTATTCCAAGTCCTGGAATAATAATCTAAACCTAATAGCCTCAAACTCAACTCACGGTCAAACTTATAAACTTTTCAAACCTTCAAATTGCCAACTTTCGGCAAATAGCGCCAAAACATTCTAGGAACCTACAAATACAAATTCGGACATACCTCTAAGTCCAAAATCACCATACGAATCTATAGGAACCATCAAAATATGAATCCGAGGTCTACTTCATACAAGTTAAACCTTGGGCAACTCTTACAACTTAAGCTTCCAACTATAGAACTACGTGTTCCAATTCACTCTAAAATCTTCTCGAAACCAAACCAACTGTCTCCGAAATTCATAAAATAGCAACCAAGAATATAAGAATGATCAATGGAAAAACGTGACTCAAATACATAAAATAATCGGTCGGGTCATTACAGTATCTCGAATCATAGGGCTGACTTTGAATTACTATTCTTCATTACTGAAAAACTACTTTGACATAGTAAAACAAATAGAGAGATTTGAAAAATAAATCTTTTGGTTCTTACTTTTTCTATCTTCGCGAAACTATTCAAGTTTCATCACATCACTAGACTAAATCTGATTTGGTAGTAAGTAAACACCACATATACACAAGAAAACGAAAAAAAGTAGGGTAGGACCTTTCGAACTAATTTGTTTCATCCTTTATATATTCCTATTATGTATGTCTAAAAATCCCAAGAAAAAGGTAAAATCGTGAAGGTACATGAATTGTACTTGGAGAAGGCATTATGTTGTTGGAGATGGTGAAAATCAATTTCATTTAGCGTGACTTCTTTCATTTATAATATTTTCTCATTTGCTGAAGTATAAGCACCAGAATATTTTTATTTCTCATAGTCTTTGTTTGAATTGAATAAAATGTGCCATTAGATTCTTTATGAACTTTTTCTTCTTACATTCAGAAGAAGTAAACAAGAATTAAAAAAAATCATAAATTTCAAATGTTACAAGATATTAAAATTCAAGGGATTTAAACCTAGGCAAACATTGAAGATAATAGAATTCAATGGGGTTTAGATTTAAAAGTATACCTATTTTGAATTTTGTAAATTTTTTTCTCACAAGAATTTTTTTTAGAAACTATAAAGAATTTGAGATTTCTTTTTGAGTCTAACACAGATTACCTTTAAAAAGTTCAAACTTAAATGAGAACTGATTATAGACACAAGAAAATTAAAACACTGCATCCGTGGAAATTGGTTTAAAGAATGAATTCTAATCACGATTTTATCATGAATTTCATAAATTCACCCATTTTATGCTAGTATTAACATAATTCTTCTAGAATTCATCTATTGCAAGTAACTAACGCATAGTAATATTTATGTGATTTTTAAGAAAATTTATTTATTAGTTATACAAATTAGTTTTAGTGTTGCGTTGCGTATATTCCGTCTTTCTAAAAATATATTTTTTTTGGTTCTTCCTATGTTTTAAGTACAACACACATATATCCACTACATATATAAACAGATTCTCAGGTAATGCAAACAGTCTTGCATACAGGGACACTGAGCTTTACTAATAATGCTAGGACATCTAGAACTCCATGATATTTACCGTGAAGCCAATACTGTAGCGGATCTACTTGCTACGCATGGCATGACCTTAGCTCCTTGCGCAAGCCATCAACGCTGTCATCCTCTACACTATGAAGAACCCCCTCTTTATACTTTACTTGCTTTTAATAATGACTATTCCAAAACTTGTATAGCCAGAACAGTCCCCCAGTGTAAAAACTCTACTACTTGTCTTTCTTTACTTTTAATAAATATCCTTATTAGCAACAAAAAAAATAGTACAACACACACAAGAAAATATTTAGACAAACCGTTAAAATAAAGTGTCTTTAATATCACTTAAATTTTTAAGATAAAATAAAAATTATTATTCTTTTATTTATATTAATTATTCAATATTCCTTTTAGTTTTACCAAATATAATAAGTACTTTTACTTTGAGCTACAACTTAAATGCTCCTATTTTAATTTGAAATAGAACAAATCTAACTAAAAAAAAGTAGTCCAAATTTGAGTTCTTGAACAATAAAAGAGTCACATAGTTCAATTCAACTTTAATATTGATTGGCTTTAAATAAGAAAATTTATACAAAGTAAAGTTTTAGTTTATTTTAAAGTATACTAAGTTCAAAGAAGAAAAAATTTAATAACCAGAATTTAGTTGATTTAAAAGTACTAAAGACTAGAAAAATACTTAAATGACAATTAAGTAAATCTAAAACCCTAAAACATATTTATCATTTTTACGAACTTATAATTTTTATTTATTTTTATCTTATAGGTTAAACACATTTTTTGAATTTATTTATGTTGTTTTTTTAAATCTAACGGAGGCATAGAAATTACATACTTTAGAAATGTTTCTTTTTGAAATTATCGTAATTCTTGTACGGATCCAAATATTTTCGTGTCGCCCCGCACAAAGGCGGTGCATCATATATTTTTTTTGATAAAGAAAGGTATTATTAAACAGAAAAGAGTATCAAGCTGATAATATGTTTCCATATATATTTCTTCTGGACAAAAAAAGAAGAAGATCATTTTAAGTTTGGTTCCAAATTGATTTTCTTATTTTGATTTTTCAAAATTTTATTACTCCCCGAGAAAGAAAGTAAATAATATACTTAAAACTGAAGGGCGATATCGGTAATTTGATTAACTTAGAGGGTTTAGGGAGGGTTTTAACTATGAAAGTCACAGAAAACGGCTTCCTCCCGTAAGCTCATCAATGGCGGTTCTGAGCCCCCCTACTTTAACTAGCCGAAACTAGTACACCAAATAGTCAGCCAACCCTCGTTTTCCCATCAATTTTTGCAATAATGTTGAAGGCTCTTACATCCTCATGTCTGCAGAATCGTTTCCACGCCGTCACAACGGCATTTACCCCTCAAGTTCGCCGTGGCACTGACTCGAATACGCCCTTGCTTCGGGTTTTAGGTTCGCTAAGAAGTTCGAATCGCAGGGTCCCTTATTTGTCTCGACGATTCTTTTGTTCGGATTCTACTGATGGGTCCGAATCGAATTCCGAGGCTGCTGCATCCGAAGCCAAGCCGGCCGAGGAAGGTGGAGATGCTGATTCTAAGGCTTCGGCTGCTATGGTTCCCACTGTTTTTAAGCCTGAAGATTGCCTTACGGTTAGTTCAAAATAATTCTTTGCACCCGCACCGATAGATTTAGACGTGTCTTTAAAATAAATTGTATGACTTTTGTTAACTAATGTACATTCTCAGTTCAATTTATCACTTCATCATTATTAACTAACATAATTTGGTGCATAATTATGTATTTTCCTGCTCCATCATTATATAAGTACATTTTATGCTAATATTTGATAACTGCTAAATGACTCCTTAAGAAAAGATGTTAACTTTTTGTTATAACGGTGTGGCCATGTCTGCTTGTGCACCAAAAAAGAAGATATTAAGTGAGTTCCTTCTGTTGTTAGTGCTGGTTTTATGTCTTCTTTGGGTAGTTTTGATATGATTTTATTCATTATTATTCAAATTTGTACATATGGATGCAAACATGACGCAGAATTGGGAACAATTTGATATAGAAATTATTTTTAACTTTGGTTGCAACACTCTGTTAAGATTTCGGCAATCGAAAGGGATGGTTGTTTAAGAAGTTAACTTTCTAGGATATAAAAAAGGTGGATCACCAAGATTATATTTCTCGTAGATTCGTACACTCAATCATTCTTTACTAAAAGACCTTCCCGACCTTGACTTGATATAATGCTGTGAAGGTCAACATTTTATTTTTCCAAAGAGAGGCTTTTGATACCCTCTTTGTCTCTAAAAGAATGGTTTTATTATTAGATGCTTCGATCCTCATATTTTGAACCCAGCCATTCCGTTTGAGATGAAAGAATAGTATTGTAGACTTTTTTAAAATCAGGCCGTAGTATTAAAGAATCTCGATATCAATCTTCTTAGGATCCTCAGACACCTCACATCGATGACCAACACTTGTAATGTTATTGTAGCTTCAATTAGCATTAGTATTTTAATGAAATGAGAATTGACAAATTTTTATAATCTAGTCGTCTTTTTAAAGATTTCTTGTCCTGAATCTTCTTAGGATCATCAGAGAGCCTCACATCAGTGAGCAACTCTTTTAATGCTATTGTAGCAATGTAGCTTCAATTAGCATTACCCTTTCAATGAAAAAATGTGGTATTTCAGTACCCCTCCTTCAACCACAATGTTATTGATTTTTGCTTCCTTGATATCTCCTCCACTATTTATTCTGCTTTTATATGGCTTTTTGGTACTATCCCTTCTTGTCTATATTTTCATTAATGTGGTGCTTATGCTTTCCTGAGCCGAGGGTCTATTGGAAACAACCTCTCTTTCATCACAAGGTAGGGGTAAGGTCTGCGTACACACTACCCTCCCCAGACTCCACGGGGTGGGATAAGACTGGGTATGTTGTTGTTGTTGATACTTCCTCCACTAAGGCACAATCCGCCAACTCCTTAATCAAGTCTTCCATTAGGGGTAATTCATTTGCAATCATCTCTTTTGCTTCACCTAATGATTTCTAAAGGTTTCGATTTTTCCAACAATTCTTTCATCTCCATCTCCACTCAAGCATATACCTCTCCATTTTCATCATCTATGATCAGCTCTAAGTAATTTCAAGTTTTTTCCCAATCACACAGCTTGGATTTTCGGCAATGCACTTGTTCTTGTTCAAATGTTAATGTGTGTTATCTTAGTAGTGTTAAATTAGTCTCATTGGAAAGATATCATAAAATTTATGTATTTCTCACCTACACATAGATGTGTCTTTTCTATTTGATTGTTAGATTTTCTCAGATTGTATCACATACCCTTGGTGATCTTAATAAGGGGCAGCCTATGCTACCCGATTGGTCAACTTTTTCACTATTCTTTCCGCTTTTGGTGATCTTTAACCTCATCCCTATTTCCGTAGACCGTTTGACAGTATCATGCCTCTTTCTCAGTCATCTTTTTAGCTATAAAATTCCTCCTTTTTGACCATTCTTCCAGTGAGTTTCTGCCACCATTCCAACCATGTCCCATTTACAGTGTAAAATTACTATTTTGGCCATTCTTCCAATGAGTTTTCTACCATCTTTCAGGCCAGTATTATGATTATTGTTCCAGATACTATTTTGGACGCTATTCCATTGCTACTCCAGTCACTGTTTAGCCGCCAATTTGAGCCACATTAGCTGCCACCTTACGCCACACCAATGATGGTCTTGATATTCGTGGTATCGCGTTCTCTCTGGTCATTGAGAATCGGTTCCCTTTTTTTTTTGATAAGGTAAATTGTATTAATCAAAAGGGAGAAAAAAAAAACTCCCGCATACAAGAAGTATACAAAAAGTAGAGAATTTACATCAGAACATGATTCTCTACAAATGACGCCCAATCTTCTACGCAAGTAGGGGCTACATGTGTGCACCATTAAGCGATCAAAGATAAAAGACTATTCTTAAGATGTGAAAACGGAGACTCAATCCCCTCAAAAACTCTCTTATTTCTCTCTCCCCAGACTAACCACATGAAAGCTAACGGGACGAACTTCCACGCCTTTTGCTTGCTTCTTCTACGGAAATTGGCCCAGCTATATAGCATTTCCTTTACAGTGTTTGGCATCACCCATTGAACACCAAAAAGATTCAGGATTGCCCTCCATAAACCCCAGGACACAAGGCAACGCATCATAAGATGATCAACTTCTTCCCCTGAGCTTTTACACATGTAGCACCAACTAACATGTGTAATTCCTCTCTTTCACAGATTTTCAGATGTCAAGATCACTTCCCTCGCTGCTAGCCATGCAAAGAAGCACACCTTCGTGGGCGCCTTAGGAATCCAGATCGATGAGTATGGGAAAGTAGCTTCCTGTCTCNTGCCGCATCCCAGAGAAAATCCCTTTGAAGCCGCTCCAGTTTTTCTGTGATGCTCACAGGTGCTTGCAACAGGGATAAGTAATAGGTAGGGATACTTGACAAAGTGCTTTTAATAAGCACTTCCTTACCGCCTTTTGACAAATACCGTTTCTGCCAGCCTGCTAATCGTTTTTCAACCCTTTCAATGACTGGATTCCAAACNGAATTTGTTGGACCATCAATTCCTTCTGGTTTGAAACTCTGAAGACGTGGGGGAAAGAGACCCTCAGAGTAGCCTCTCCACACCACCTGTGATTCCAAAAGCTGATTCTCCTTCCATCACCCACCTTGTAAGTGATGTTGCCATAGAAAGCTTCCCAGTTCTTCATGATGTTCCTCCACATGCCACACCCGAACGGTGTTGTGATTGCCTTGGTCCTCCAACCCCCTCCCGTGGAATCATACTTTTCTGCTATGACCTCCCTCCATAGAGCATGCTCTTCTACCCCGAATCTCCACAGCCACTTCCCCAGCAAAGCTCTGTTGAATACCCTGAGATCTTTTACTCCAAGTCCACCCCACTTCTTTGGGGAAGTGACTGTCTGCCAATTCACTAGATGAAACTTTCTAGTTCCATCTGCCGCATCCCAGAGAAAATCCCTTTGAAGTCGCTCCAGTTTTTCTGTGATGCTCACAGGTGCTTGCAACAGGGATAAGTAATAGGTAGGGATACTTGACAAAGTGCTTTTAATAAGCACTTCCTTACCGTCTTTTGACAAATACCGTTTCTGCCAGCCTGCTAATCGTTTTTCAACCCTTTCAATGACTGGATTCCAAACAGTAGTATCCTTTTGCAAAGCACCCAATGGTAGACCCAGGTAGGTAGTGGGGAGAGAGCCCATCTTGCATCCGAGAACATGAGACAAAGCATCAATGTTAGCAACCTCATCCACCGGGAAAATCTCACACTTGCTGAGGTTGATTTTGAGTCCTGATACTATCTGAAATCACTGCAGTAGCTGCTTCAGGCAGGTCAACTGATCCATATCGGCATCACAGAAAACTAGGGTGTCATCCGCAAAAAGCAAATGAGAGACCCTTCGGGCACTGAGCACCTCGATCGGAGCTGAGAAACCTCTCAAGAAGCCTCCACTCGCTGCACGATCCATCATTTTACTCAGAGCATCCATCACTAAAATGAATAGCATGGGGATAAGGGGTCACCTTTCCTAAGCCCCCTGGAGCTGCCAAAGAAACCACACGAGCTACCATTAACCAGGACAGAGAATCTGACTGATGAAATGCAAAACTTGATCCATCCCCTCCATCTTTCCCCAAACCCCATCCGTTTCATAATGAAGTCCAGGAACTCCCAATTGACATGATCAAAGCCTTCTCAAGGTCCAACTTGCACAGTAATCCGGATTCTCTATTTTTCCTTTTGGAGTCTACAAGTTCATTTGCCACCAGAGCAGCATCCAGGATCTGCCTACCTTCCACAAACGCATTCTGGGAGGACGAAACAGACACGTCAAGAACCTTCTTTAGTCTGTTAGAGAGCACTTTAGAAATAATCTTGTAAATGCTCCCCACTAGACTGATAGGCCTATAGTCTCTGATACAAGATGCACCTTCTTTCTTAGGCACAATGGTAATAAAAGAAGCATTGATGCTTCTCTCGAAAGCACCATTCACGTGGAAGTATTCGATGGCTTCCATCAACT